AGCTGCACGTGAAACATTCGATTAGGGAATGTTTGCATATAGATAGTAGATCGATATCCAGATGAGACGGGATACTAGAGGAGCGTTGCCGAAAGGAGGTGTTGATCCAAAGCGCTGTGCGCAGATCTTGGGCGCAGTTCCGCGGCAAAGCGCACGCGACCACGGGAACGTCCTACGACAGTATGCAGCGCTGGCAGCTATGGATTCGTGCGCCGGGCTATGCATTTGGCGCACGGATCCATAGCTGCCAGCGCTGCATACTGTCGTAGGACGTTCCCGCGGTCGCGTGCGCCTTGCCGCGGAACTGCGCGCAAGATCTGCGCTCAGCGCTTTGGATTAACACCTCCTTTCGGCAACGCTTCTCTAGTATCCCGTCTCATCTGGATTGCAAATGACCATGCAATCATGATACTCATCTGCTTTGGGTGCAATGACGTATAGCTGCTTGGTAATGACCACAAGGATGTCTGGCTGTCGCGCGGTAATCATATCCGCGACAGTTAGTCGCTGAAACAGCTCCCGTCAATGTGAACACGGTCTATCTCCAGTTGCAAGAGCAATAATTTCAAAGAAATATCATTTTAGTTACAGCTTGTCGATAAATAAGTTCGCAGCGTTTGTCCACTCGGCGCGTTTACGATAGATGTGGATATAGCGAAAGTGAAGGAGATAGCGGGATACGTGTGGTCCGTAAGATTCTATTTCGGCCAACACACGTGAACGACGTACGGCCGAGGCTCAGCTAACGTGAGCTGAAATCGATACTCACCTTGTATCTCTATGAAGATACAAAGAAAATCTCCCCCTTTCCTTCGGAGTTCTTCCTTTTTTCTCTTCCTCTTCCTCTCTCTCTCTCTCTCTCTCTCTCTCTCTCTTTCACTTCTTCTCTTTTTGTCGGTCTATGTTCTCTCTGTCTGCCTTCCGCGTCTCTCTCTGAATATAATTTTCAATGTTTATGAAAAGAAGTTGTAATTTTGTGGCTTGTATGGAAATACATTCTAAAGGCATAGAGACGTCGGTTTGAAGCGGATGTTAACATTGTGTGTTGTTGACATTTACGAGTGACCACGAGTAAAATCATTGTGCTGTAAAGGTTGATGGTTGTAAGGATCATGATGAGTATTCAGTTTCGATTATATATTAAAAGCGGCAGTTAAAGCTTGTCATTGTATTATATTCAGTGCCGCATGTTGTACAAATCATTCGTCGCGAAATCTATATGAATCGCACATTACGAAATTAATCTGCAAAACTACTATATGCTTGTTAAAAAGTAGTGCACATGCAGATTACGCCTGCAAGTTTCAGGTGCAGTGTTGACTTCTGTACATACAGAATATTTTATGTAGGTTTTTTAAGATAAAGTTATTATTTATTGCGATAGATCTCATAAACAACAATATACGTGTTCGACGTTAATTGCTGACTTGCAGCTCTACTATTTGCGTTACTATGCGTTTACATTTACGCTTGATGTTAGCCGATTTAGCTTGTAACACATGCCAACCGTCAACGCTAGCTGTACTTTGGTATAGTGCTTATGTATTAGTTCAGCGAGGAATATTTTCGCAGTGAGAATATTTCGACTATGTTAGCAGCGTATAGGCCTACGATATATACATACACCGAAAATAATTGAATTCATTGTTTCTACGCGTAACATCCTCGCGCAAGCTTTGAAAACGGCCCATATATACCTTGTCGACTGTTCGTATTTAACAGGCTATAGTTATTTTATTTTAGGAGTCAAATTGTGAATTTATGTCTGCTGCAGATTTTCGTTGTTGGATCTATCTACACATTTAACGTGCAGCATGATATATGAGACCAACTGTGTTTGTATTTGTGCCGTTTGTGTACTCAAATGGGATACACAAAACTATATCCCAACAATTTGATAAACCATAAATTTTCAAATTTGTTTTGCAATTTGGTGGTCACAAATTTGGCAGCATAATGTTGGAAATAAAGATCTAGACACTTTACCTGTTTTGTTTATGATTTATTGTCGTTGCTCTACTGTTATAGATGTCGATGCATTCCATGACGCAAATATAATCATTTTTATAAGCACAATTTTGAAACAATCATTCAATTGAACCACGGTGTTGGCGTGTTGCATACGGTACAGCGGCAACAATGCGTTATAGTTATGTGTACGAGTATTATATGGATGTACAAATGTATTAATATCAGTAGTACTTTAACATAATTTTTCTTATACATATTATATTTGAACCCATTATCATTATTGAAGATAGGTGACAATATTAATTTATAGGCAAATATTGCATCGTTCAGCCATTTACCGGAAGAAATATCTGAGTGAAATGATGTACTTTTGCATTGACGTTAGGCGGGGCTAATATCAAGGAGAAGAGCGCATGTTGCTAAAGAAAATTAAATCATATACAATTTTGTCGAAATTATACACCTGCAGTAAGCACATGCCCATGAGTAACTACATACTTAAAATTTTGATACCAATGATTCACTTCATTATTTACAAGGCGGCAAATCTTCCAAACTTCTTTTAAACAAGACATTTTATTACGCTATGCTAATGTACATGAAACAGGCGCTCCGACGTCGGTCGCTGTTCACTGCCAAGATAATGTTCTTCGGCCGTTATTATATGTTCAAAGTGGAGCCGGGCGGGGCGGGCGGATAGCACGTGTGCTTGGTAAAATCCGATCTATAATATTCACTTTGCTCGCAGCATCACGCCCTGGGTTCCCCGCTATGCCTATATTTTTATACAAGACAATCAAATGTACATGTGAGCATATTGAAAAGAGAGAAAAAAAAAAACTTAAAAAAAATAAATATAGAAAACGACAACAAAATAAAAATATAATAGTAGGAAGAGTGAAGGGGTATAAAGAGATCTCTCTCTCTCTCTCTCTCTCTCTCGCTCTCGCTCTCTCTCTCTCTCTCTCTCTCTTCTCTCTCTCTCTCTCTCTTTCTCTCTCTCTTTTTCTCTCTCTCTCTCTTTTCCTCTTCTCTCCTTCTCTCTCTCTCTCTCTCTCTCTCTCTCTCTTCTCTCTCTCTCTCTCTCTATATATTATATATATATATTATTTATATATATGATATATATATATATATAAATGCTACATAAATAAAGGTTAAGGCTAATGAGAATGAAAATGCGATGTCGGAGACACGCTAATTAAAGCATGTGTATGAAACAGCTGGGCAGCCGCCAATGACTGACGGAGCGCGCACGACGACCGGCAACGCGTGCCGGCGCTCAATCACAGCGCTCGAGATGGTGTGTGGTATTTAATATCATGGACTCATCGGCCGCTGCTCGCCTGTAGCGTACACTACTTCACACGTACTATATGCAACGCCAGCTACATATCTATACTGATACGCGGCAGTGCAGAGGGCCGTGATATACGATTACCGGCGACATGCCGGCCAGAAATTACTATTTCAACGTGATAGCTCTTCACGTTACTCGAGTTTACGTGTGATGGGATTGGTCAGGTTTCATGAACGGACGTATCACAGCTGTGGCTGATGGTCACATGAGACAGGCGTATAGGGACTGGACAATAGATGGCAAGTTCAAGAAAGAAATGGAAGCTAATGGCCTAATCGCTAGAACATCCGTCTCCTACACCGGGATTCCGGGTTCGAGTCCCAGCTGGAAAACTTATTTTCTCCTTTTTTCTTTTTTTCTCTTTACTTACCTCTTTAGTATGTATTATTTTTACTGTTTTACTTTTTACTTTTAATTTTTTATATTTAATGTCTTTTATCTTTTGATTTCTTATTATTTTTTACTGTTTGGGATGGGATGGGATGGCATGGGATGGGATGGCATGGCATGGCATGGCATGGCATGGCATGGCATGGGATGAGATGGGATGGGATGCGGTGCGATGGGATGCGGTACGATGACATGGCATGGCATGTCATGGGATGTGATGGGATGGCATGATATTTGATGAGATGGAATGGGATGGGATGGGATGGGATGGGATGGGATATGGGATGGGATGGGATGGGATGGGATGCGGTGCGATGGAATGGGATGGGATGGCATGGAAAGGGATGGATGGATGGATGAATGCATGGATGGATGCATGGATTTTTAAAGATAAAGTTATTATTTATTGCGATAAATCTCATAAACAACAATATACGTGTTCGACGTTAATTGCTGACTTGTAGCTCTACTATTTGCGTTACTATGCGTTTCGTGTGTGTGTCAAGCCCAAGGTGCGCGTGAGATTGTCACAGCTTATATGACCGATGACGTCTCTCCTCGTCACTAGGCAGTAGCACAGAGAGAACTAGACAGAGTGCACTCACGGATAGTGCATACCTCCACCAGCGACATACGCCATACGCCATACGACTCACGAACACACGAATAAGCCACGATATACGCCAGCGTGCTGACATGTACACGCTGGCTTGCTGGCTTGCTGCTCGCTCGCTCGTAGCAGCCGCTCATTGCTGCTGCTCGCTCACATGTACACGCTGGCTTGCTGGCTTGCTGCTCGCTCGCTCGTAGCAGCCGCTCGTTGCTGCTGCTCGCTCACATGTACACGCTCACTGGCTCGCTGCGCTGGCTGGCTCGCTGGCTCGCTGGCTGACGCGCTAATATCGATCACGCGAACACACGAACACACTAACACACGAACACACGAACACACGCACACGAAAGCGAAAACATAACCTCCTCCAACTCCGTTGGGCGGAGGTAATAACATCGCCTGGCTTGCTGTTCGGCGACAGATTGATCACCTGCCAACGGCATTGTACGGGTGGTCCGTGCGTGCGTGCGTGTGTGCGTGCGTGTGTGTCTGTGCGCGTGTGCGTGTGGGCGTGCGTGCGTGTATGTGCGTGTGTGTGTGTCCGTGCGTGCGTGCGTGTGTGCGTGCGTGTGTGTGTGTGGTATCAGTAAGACATGGTAGCCGTAGATGGCTCCTTAGAGTTTGATAAATAGGCGTAGCAAGCACATGCAGGTCTCCCGTGCTAGGCTAGACGCTAGTAGATCGATCACCACTGTGCAGCTAGTTTAGACATCTCTTGTTGCCGTAAGGTAGACTTCTACTTAGGAAAAGATAGACTGCTATTAAAGCGACGTCGGTTTCTATTAAAGCGACGTCGGTTTTTATTAAAGCGAGATGCGCTTAGAACGCGAGGTAGGTTTCTATGGCAGTGATGTATACTTATTTTAAATTGGGTCGGCTTCGTTTAAGAACGGTAAACCGTTTTTAAAAGGGAGGTATGTTTCTGCTACAGTGATGTCGACTTCTATTAAAGTAGAGGTAGGTCTTTCTGAAGAATGGTACTCTGTTCTTAAAATGGGGTAGGCTTATATTCTACTGATGTAGACTTCCATTAAAGTAGGAGTAGACTTCTATTGAAGAACGGTACACTGTTCTGAAAAGGAGGTGGGCTGATGTAGGCTCTCTATTAAAGTCGGGGTAGACTTTAGGCGATGCATTGCTGGAATACATTAGTGATGCACGCGAGGACACGTCGTATTAAAAGTAAATTCTAACCCTAAGTATTCTAACCCTAGCAATACCGTTTCTTGGAGCTAGCCGGATGGTAGACTGGTACCCGTTCGCTACCTTCAGACCAGTGCTTCAGACAGGTGTAGCGCAAAATTTCTGACTTGCGAAATATCTGAGATAGGATGCCTATGCGCATGCGCACTTCGCATGCGTTCCGACCCGACCACTGATCTCTATAATATTATAGAGATCAGTGGACCCGACTAATCACAGCTCGTCTTTGTGTGCGAAATTTCTGACCTGCGAAATATATGATATAGGATGCGTATGCGCATGCGCACTTTGCATATATGCTCAAATATGGCGATTTCCACTTCAGCTAAGACACCAGCTGGTGGAGAAGGAGGAGAGGGAGAAGCTGGTGGAGAATGAGGAAGGGGAGAAGGGGGAGGGGGAGAAGCTGGTGGAGAATGTCAATGAGGAAGGGGAGAAGGGCGAAGCTGGTGGAGAAGGAGGAAGGGGAGAAGGGAGAAGGTGGTGAAGAAGGAGGATAGGAGAAGCTGATGGAGAAGGAGGAGGGGGAGAAGCTGGTGGAGAATGTCAATGAGGAAGGGGAGAAGGGCGAAGCTGGCGGAGAAGGAGGAAGGGGAGAAGGGAGAAGGTGGTGAAGAAGGAGGATAGGAAAAGCTGATGGAGAAGGAGGAGGGGGAGAAGCTGGTGGAGAAGGAGGAGGGGGAGAAGCTGGTGGAGAAGGAGGAAGGGGAGAAGGGAGAAGCTGGTGGAGGAGGGGAGAGGAAGAGGGGAAGAATGGAGAAGCTGGTGGAGAAGGAGGAGGGGGAGAAGCTG